TGCTTAAGAACCCTACAATTGGTGCCATAAAGAGGATAATCTTTGCAATGCAAGCCATTACTCTTTTGGATGAGTTTGAGGTTTTTTACAACAGAATGTGCTTCCAGCTTGAAGCCCTGTCAGTCAACTGAAGAACTTGACTGGGTTTTAATTGGTGATGCTGCCCCAAGAGAAGGTCCAGACAGGTCTGCAGTGAGTGGGGACAGAATTAATTGTCATTAAATCAGCACTCGAGTGGCTCAGTGCAGTCATTTCAAGGTTGGGGAAGTCCCTGATAGATTATTCAAGGATCCATTTGGGGACAGAGGTAGAAACCTACTTAGAATACCTAGGCCTAAAAACTGACAAATCCAGGGGCTGGGGTTGTTGCTCAGTGGTAGAGTGCTTGCCTAACATGCATGAGGCACTGGGTTTGATGCTCAGCACCGCATAAGTATAAAATAAAGATATTATGTATGCCTATAAGTAAAAAATAAATATTTTTAAAAAACTGACAAATCCAGGCTGGGGTTGTGGCTCAGTGGCAGAGCACTTGCCTAGCATGCGTGAGGCACTGGGTTCGATCCCCCACACCACATAAAAAATTATTATAAATTAGAAATAAAGGCTAAATTCTTTAAAAAAAATCTGACAAATCCATTAATTTGAGTCATTCATATAAAATGTTCAAGTTACTGTTTTTGATTGTTTTGTTCAGAACATCTTCTGAATGTGCTTCCTGAGAAACCCTGCACCTGCATTAGGAAAGGCACAAGGAAATACTCCTCAGTGCCCCAGATCAGCCATCCAGGACACCAGCCAATTTAGTGGTCTTCCAATACAAATTAGTTTTTATTAAGAGCTAGAAATTTGAATGCCACATTGGCACACCTCAACTGCTTAGATCTACCAAATGGATCTAGGTATTCACTGGCAGGGGCCTTCCTGACTACCATTTCTAGGCATCCAAAAACATTAATAGTGTTTCTAGAATTAAAAGATGCCTTGGTCAGATAAACCCAGGGCTAGGTCAAGTCAAACAGGTTTCTTTATTTTGGAATTTCTTAGAACATTTCATGTGTTGCTTTATATCCAGAATCTGCTGAGAAACCTAGTCCAGCCATACATCTGGAAACCTTGATCAAGAGCATAGTCTCTCAGACTTTGTGTGCATTGCAGTCTCCTGGAGAGCTTGTTAAAAGGCGAGTCATTGAACTCCATAGAGTTTCTGCTTGTCTAGCAAGTTCTAGGGGATGCTGATAGTTCTTAGAGAACCACTGATCTGGACTTATTTTTCTATTCAGCAAAGAATAAAATAGCCAAACCAAAAGGTATCCATTAATTGGCCAGCACCATTAATTGGTCACCATTAGTGACCATTAATTGGCCAGCACCTGGTAAGCATTTCTCATGACTATTTCTAAAGGCGGGTGTGCTCCTGGAACTCAGTCACTAGAAAGGGGCTAGTACTAGGCAAATGACTCTCAGTGTCTTAACTTGTGCTCAGGACCCACTGGAAGAGAGGAGGGATGGTGATCAAGCAGGGTTCTGCCCTGAAGACAGTCCAGGTCTTTCTTTCCTTGACATAATTAATTGGGAACATAAATTTGGTTTGTGTTTTAATCCTCTAAGGCTTAGCTTCTTCATCTATAGATGGAAGAGGATGTAAATTATTTTTAAGGATGCTCACTAACTCTAGCATTTCGTTTTATTTTTGCTCCCAGTCACTTTTTTGAGCATCTGGTACTCCTGTCCACTCCATCAGCAGCTGGAGATAGATGTTAGAGTCTGTGTATTGCCTTGCAGGGAGCTCTGCATTTTATAAGAGCACTGTAGGAGGGAGCGATGGGAGGATTCCAAAAGCCTAGCCCCTAAGTAGTGGATTGTAACAGAAGCAACTGGTCTAGTATAAAAGATTCCCAAGGTCTTCCAGTTTGCACACAGATTTCACAGTCCTTTGAAGTGCCTGGTACTGTCTCTGTCCAAATTAAATCAGGGTCGGTGTTGGTTAAATATATTATGTTAAAGGTTCTTATGGGGACTTTAGAAGCCCCTGGAATTGTATTTAGGTTTGTGAATGTGTGAGTTTGAGTACGTGTGAGCACACTCATAGGTTTTTCTATAAACAGGATGAAGAAATGTCAAGAGTCACTGCCTTACATGGAAAGCCAGCCCTTATCCATATACAGTTGCCATGAGTAGGCTTAAACTCCTGCTGAGCTGTTCCTGGAGAAGAGTAATAGGGAGTCTGCAAGGAGCTGTGATTTTCCACAGTGTTAATGATGTATCTAAAGCAGCTCCTAGCGAATAGACAGGAGTGACCTGGGTCCCAAAGCCACAGCAGGAGCGGCCCAAATGGGAATAAGGGGAAATCCTCGACTCACAAGCCCTAAACAGCAGTGATTAGAACAAAACATCCTGTCTAGCTGCCCGGACACCTGGCTTTGCCCCATAAACTCTGGCCCCATGTTGTGCCAGGAACATACCTAAAATGCTCAGTTCCGCCTAGTGGGCACTGCCCTCTACTGGAAGGTGGGTGCTACTGGGCGTCAGTGCCAGAAGAGGAGGTATCTTGGGTTGTCTCTGGAATGCAGTGACAAGAGCCCACACTGGCGAGTGCAGTAGTCCCAACCATGGGGCACAAGAGTGATGCGTTTTGCGGTCCATCTGTACCCTATCTGCCACCACATCTTCTCTGAGAATCAGCTGGCCTGCTTCCACATTGGCATCCTCGAACCTCAGCTCAGCTGAGCAGTTATCCTGGACCACGTCACTGGGAACCATATTTCTTGTCACCCTGGATGGTCCCAGCGCAGGCTGATGGACAGACGCATGTGCGCCTGAGAGAATGCAGGGGCTGTGTGTTTAGAGAGGTGGGTGGAGAGGCTGGGGTGGGTGGGAGGTAAGGGGCTTCCTTTGTGCACTCACCTTCACTGATCCCAGACCTATGCCATCCACTCTGCGGCTCTCCACCTGGTCAACCCCTTCCTGTGTCCCCTCTGAAACACCATCGCGTCTTGGCCTCCTTAGGGCTCAACGCCCCCACACCCAGGCAGCACAGCCGCCACCGCACTCCACACTGACCCGGTGCACATGGACCCATCCCCCTTCTACTATGTGTCTAGGTTCCCAGCTCCCCACCTGCCCCAGGGGCCTTGTGTCCTGGCCCCTCCTTTACCACCTGTCTCAGGAAGGCAGCTCCAACTCTGCTCTCTGCTTAGTGAGCAAGTGGATTCAGATGCACAAAGCCATAAGCCAATGGGGTAGGTACAAGTTTTTTCTTGTCTCTTTCTTCTCAACCCTCTTCTCCCTGTCCCCTCCTCCTCCATACTCTTCTCACTCTCCCTTCCAGCCCTACACCCCACATTTCCCCCTCCTTTATTTTTCTCTTTTCCTTTGCCCTTCAAATCCCTAAATTCCCAAAGTAATGTGCTTTTAGCCAATGTACAGGGGAAAGTGATCCTTCAACCCCTTAATTACTATGAGTGGTAAAGGTAATTCTGGCCCTGCCCTGAAGGAGAGCTGGGGGCTCTGGTGGCTTCCAGGGAATACAACTTTGCCCTTTTAAAGTACTTGGACCTCCTTCCAGCTGGTATCTGGTTTCTGGTAATATCCCACATGCTTCCAAGAAGAGACCTAACACACGGATGGCCTGAGGGATTCCCTGAGGTGGGTTTTTGGTGGAAGCAGAAGCTCAGACTGCATCCTTAATCCCTTCAAGCCACATATCCAAAACTAGGCCAGAGACCTCTGCTCCAAGTTGGCTCTGTGGATGGAGTCCCCCAATGTGTCCTCTGCCTCTGCACTGACAACCAGGGAGGACATGAAAAGGCCCATGAGGTGGAAAAGAATTCCCAGGACTTAACCTGGAGGGACCAAGGCAAAAGGTCAGAGACAATATGACTTCTCTCTGGGACTAATTTCTAGGCATTCTAGCTTTTAGAATCAAGTTAGGGGATGTAGTAGCCTAGTCCTGAGTTCGGACCAAGCCTGACTACACTGGGCTTTGTGACCATTGTCACTTAGAATATCCAGACCCCAGTTGGTTTCCTCACCTATAAAATGGAAGATGAAACAGCCGGTGGTCCCACTGCTTCCCCTTTTCAGCCAGAATGGCTCCTATTTCAGCTTGATGTTTTAGAAGTTTGAATGAGGCTTTCTCCTACCACATCAGCAGGAGGTGCTGCCTCACACAGGGCCTTCCAGCCCTTTGCTGTGTAGCGTCCCCTTTTTGTTGTGATTTGCTTTCCATTCTCCACTCCACCAGTGCTTCCTGTGTTGCTTATCATAGTGATGGGTAGGCCATCACTCCTCAGTGTAAAAAGAGGAGCAGCAATGAACAGGCACTTCTTGCCTCAGTTTAACGGCTTAGGGGCAAAACTGACATCACCAATACGTGAATATTTGTTAAAAACAAAGTGTACTTGCTCTTGGTGTGTCAGGGATCCAAACATTCTGCCAAGTGGACAATGCATCACTCAATTTGTGTTGGGACTGGCCTTCCCCTTTGGAAACACAGGAGAAAAGATAGGACTGCTGTCTCACCTGTGCAAGGCTCCTTGCCCAAGCTGCAGAGTGAGCAGAAAGTCTCAGGCAGCAGACAGCCCTCAGTTCTAAGAAACCAGAACCCTTTTTCTAAAATATTGGATCAGAACCTCAAAGAAGTTTTGACTAGGCCACTATCACAGAATAGGTCAAGAACTGCCTCTTCCTTATCAACACAGATAAGGAAAGGGGAATTCACTAGGCCAGACCATGCCTCATGATGGCTGCTAACTTTGAAAAGGAGGTTGAGTGCAGGGACTTCTGAAAAATTTCCAGTGCTTCCCTGAGAGCTTAGAAGGTGTTCATGGAACTGCATGAATGCTCGCAGTTCCCTGCACTGGTGCTTTCAGCTCCTCAGTGACAAATCCCACACGGGCCAGTGTGAGTGGCACTACCTGGGAGCAGTAGGAAATTGGAAGAATGAGAATGTAGGCTGGGACCCCTGGCTCACAGCTTTTTCCCATGTGTCTTTCCAGATGCGCTGGCTCCCTCCCTCAGAGGCTACTTCTCAGGGCTGGAAGTCCCGTCAGTTCTGCTGAATGCTCTGTAAGTACTTGGTCTCACTGAGGAATGTGGAAAGCAAGCAGCAGGCAGACAATGCACAGGGCTTTTGGTAAACAGCAGCTTTCATCCTTTCTCCACACTCACACCTTCTGCACTCTCTTGGGTTGTCCATCTTTTAAAAACTAAAACTCTAAGGTGGCAGTGCATCTCTTCTGAGAGAAAGCTTTCATCTGGGATCAGGGAAAAGTGAGGTATGGCCACTGCAGTGTTTGAGTCTAACTTAGGAATCAGATTCCTGTCTGTGACACTTCATAAATAAGCAATCAGTGCTTGTTTCTGAAGAACACGTGTCAGAAAGTTTCCTTACGTAATTGTGGTTCACCTCCCACCATTAAATAAACTCTTTCCTTAAGATTTTTTATCTTGAGAGAAACAATATCTTATGTTGGCATCTTTGTGCCATTGTAGGCCTGACTTTGCTTCAGGCAACTACCAAATGAATTTTTACCTATAAATGTAGAATTTCCACAATGGCCCACATACCTTCTGTAATTCAATATCTTGAATGGATTTCTGCTAAGTACAAGGCATCATTATTCTAAACTATAACTTGGTGTGTTAATTTGGGGAGGCTGCTGAAAATTAAATGGGAAGAGGAAGGGATCAGACCTTAATCCTATTAGAAACACTAAGGAAGTCATGGCAAGCCTGGGTCTTTTCTTGGGGACCTTATATTTTCTGATAAAAATGGTTCAAAATAAAAAATAATGTTATTTCTTCTTCCACTGTGACAGAGAGTTCTGTGTGCTCCGTTACATCACTTGAGGCCATTGGGTCTCTTGGAGAGGTGCTATGTGGAAAGAACTGGCATCTAGTGACCGGGTTTCACTTAAATAGACACGTGTTTAAGAATGCTCACAGGGAAAGAGGGAAGGAATGACAGTACTAGAGCTGTCCTCAGCAGCTTAGTGCCCTCTTAGGAGGAGTTTTCAAAGGAGATGGGATTTATTTTCCACAAGCAAATTGCCCTGTTGACCTTAAGTCTCAGTTGGAGGGTCAGGTCACCTTCCAGACCAGGATGTGGACTTCACTTGGCCAAGTTCTTGCCACTCTTGGTGGTTAGCACTTTCAGGCAAGCACAGGCCCTGGCTCGGAAGGAGGCCTCTCTTCTCCCCCAGCAGGAGTGAAGGAAGTAGGACCAGAATACAAGATAGCCCAGTGGGTAGCTTCTGCCAGCAGTGGCAGGTGCTCTCAGAATGTTGAGTCAGGAGAGAACACTTTCACCCTAGTGATTTCAGTTGGTGAAACTGGCAAAAGATGGTTGCATAGAGCCAAAAAAAGGGACTTTTTTTTTTTTTTTTTACATTTATCTAGACCAAAAGGAAAACATTCATCATTAAGCAGTTGCATTGGGTTTCACTCAAAAAGATCCTCGACTTGCCATTTGTATTGGCAAATTATTATACTCCACAGACCCATTAATGGATACCCATCAGCCGGAGATCCAGAGACAGCAACTGCTTCCAAAGCAATGCTGGCAGTCAACATACAGCATATAAGAACCCTGTAAGATCTGAATCCGAATATGCAAACTCACTTGAGGACGAGTCATTTGTTCAGAGCTAAATGTGGATGGTGGGCCAGACTCCTTCCCCAGGATGTGAACGGTGTTGGGGAGGGGAGATAAGAAAGATCATGGACAATAGTGCTTATTGCTGCTGCATCCAGAGTTAGACCAGCTCAGCATGGATCCAGTATTCCAACTCCTTCTAGTCTCTTGGATCAGGTCGTTTCAAAAACAGCTAATAATCCAGGCTACGTAACCCTAAGGAAATGTAAATTAGAATTCGAAACTATGTTGTTGATGAGCTAATATAAATATGTTAGACCAAAATGAGTCTGTCAGAAAACTCAAATGAAAGGCACACACAGTAACATCACTGTCCCCTCAATTTTACAAAGAGGGTTTGCTCCCCCCACTTGTTGTTTTCTCTGTGTAGAAAGTGTTACCAAAACAGATAATGAGGGTAAGAGCCATGCCTGGTATCAAACAGCCTACATGCAGATTGGCAGGCACTACTGATGGGATGGAGCATTAGATGCCATCTTCCAAATCTTGCTCTCCCAGAGGTCCTTTGAGGATTTTTAATTTATCCACTTTGATTCCTTTGTGCTAAAGAGAAATCAGTGACTGGACTAGAAATATAAACTGAACTCTTTATTCTTTAAATAAACATGGGCTATGTCTGCTATGCACTAGATATAAAAATGTGTAACAGTAGACCTATGCCCCTAAGGAGCTCAAGTTTTAGTGGGGGAGAATTGTGGGCACATTAAAGACAAGAGAGATTACTTAGGATGCTTCAAGATAAGCATGTGGGGAGGTACGTCACTTGTCACTGACAGAAGGAAGGCTGTCTAAAGAGGGGTGTCGGAGGGCTCAGTGGCCTCATGTTGTTTGATCAGAATCTGGCCTGACAAGTAGTGTTTAGTCTGCCTACACACTGTATCCCCCACCCCTCACTAGAGTCTTGGTAACTGTTTGGTCCAGCTGTGTGGCAGAGAACCTCAGAATACATAATGATTGAAATTTATGAATTTCCCAATGCATTGTGAACAGGAAAACATAAGCAAGTTTTTTGTCACTCCTTGCAGATCATGAGAGATCACAGCTTTCCTTGTTAGATATCCAAATGCAGTGAAATATTTTTTTAAAAATGAAAGAGTTTGGGAGTGGGGGTGGGTGTGGGACACTATTCTTAAGAACTCATGATCCTGGCCATGGACCAGGACCACAGCATAGAAATTATAAGCACATGTTGTTACATCTTCACCAAATTAGAAAAGGAAATGGTGAGAGAGAGCACTGTGACTGGAATTCAAAGCAGTTTATTCCTTATATTTTGTTATAGAAAGAATAGCTTAGCCTGTCTTTAGATGTGAGCATGAGAGCCTTGAGCACAGAGGGCTGCACAAGGAGGTGATTTACGGGAGGAAAGGCAGCATGCAGGCCCAGACAGTTTTTGTGGATCCTGCAATCACCTATGCCCTCTCCCTTAGGAGAGACGCATGAGCTGTGCTTTCATACTGCAGTGTAGCCAGAAACCAGAGCAGTTCTTGTGACCAGTCAGCCATTCCCCTTCTGCCAGTGAAGGTCTCCATATCACTTTTAAAAGCCTTAATATAATAAATATTCAGGGGACAGCTACAGTGTAATGGGGAGGAGATGGGCAATAGAATAATAAACACAATAGGTCAGGTCGTAAGTGTTATGGGAAAGAGGGAAGTCAGGCAGGAAGCCAGCTGCGGTGGGGTTGACAGGCCCTTGTTTTATCCTGGTGGCAGAGTTAGCAGGGTCGTCCTGAGAACAGCACTCTAGAGACCTGGCACTTTCCCAGTTTGATAAGGGGCTGCTTTTTCAAAACAGGCCTTACCTTCCCAAGTTTGGAGAATAGTGTATCTCCCCTGATCCTGTTCCTCTTGCTTCTCTTTGCTAAATAAAAGTATGTGCATGAGCTTGACGTGCAGCCAGCTTGGTTCAGGGGAGGCTTCAGAGACCCCCTGGAAGAGGCAGTTGGTAGGCCCATGGCAGCCCTTCCCCCAGAGAACTTTCTTAGGACAGCCCTGAGTACAAGCTGCTAACTTTTCCCCTTACCTGTTTCTCTGAAGCTGGCTGGCGGCTGCTACCCATTAGTTCAAAGAGGGTGGCCATGTGTGAGCCTAGGACATTGAGTCTCAGTGGTTCACAGCTCAGACCAGGGTCATCAGAGGAGCCCTTGTCTCAATTATCCAGTTCCAGCCTCTCTTCTACTCATTTTTTTACAAGGAAATTAAGAAGATGTGTGTACTCAGCATAAAGTGAGCAGTGAACATGTTTGGGATTCCATTTTCTTAAGGAGCAATCTCCTTAAGTCTCTGGAATGACTCCAGCTCATGCATGCTCTTTGCCCACCAGTGGAACCCCAGTGTGCACAACTGTTGTTGATGTAACTACAAAGAGCAGCTCATCGATGCCCCCATGCTTCTAGGAACAGGGTGTGAGTTGGGGAGTCATCCTGATTAGCTTAAGCCAAGAGGAATCTGACCATCAGTATGACCTCTTCGGTGACAGGCATCCTAAAAATGTAGCTAAGGATCGGGCAGGCCAGGGAGGCACCCTGGGCCTGCTGTTCACAGCATGCCCCCTGACCCTCTGGTGCTGTGGGAGTGTTGCAAGGGCAGGAGGGAGTTGGGTGAGCCAATTGGTTTCATTTGCAAGGATTCATATTTATTTCCTGTACTCAAATAACCTTTTACTAGAAAATTAGAATTACACCTACTCATCATTTCATGTTTTTATAGTAAAATTCTGGGGTGAACATTTTTCCCCTTAATTCAGGGAAGACAAATGTTCTACAAAGGCAATCTTTCCTTCAGGTTTACCCCTAATTTTGGTAGGTTTTAGCAAAGGGTGCACAGGCTGTCTCCCCACTGGGCCCTGGAGGGGCTAGGGACCTCCCTTGGAAGGGCTTCCTGTGCCAACTGAGCCTTTGACACATTGTGAAGAGCTCAGATGGTTTGCCACAGTACAACAGACTCTGACTTTATAAAGGAAAAGAGCATCCACTGGGATGGAAAACCCAAACAATGCTGGGAAAAAGAGCCATTGGTGTCCGCATGCATGGAGGGTTCTTTCCTTTGCAACAGTATTTTTTCCCCCTCTTGTTTTGGGGATTGAACTCAGGGATGCTTTACCACTGACCCACATTCCTGGCCCTTTTTTATTTTGAGATAGGGTCTTTCTAAAGTGCTGAGTGGCTCACTAAGTTGCCTAGGCTGTCTTTGAACTTGCCATCATTTTGCCTTAGCCTTCCAAGTTGCCCCCTCACCCAGAAGCACTGGGGATTTTGTGGAAACCAACTGGCCCAGAGATACCCAATCCTTCAAGAGTATTAAAAATATATGATTTGCTGTGTCTCTGCACCTTCATATTTCAAAATGCTCAGACCCTCGGGCATCACAGGATGTGTTCACAGACGTGTTTCGTTTTGATTTTGTTTTCTAGATGTTGCTTAGAGCAAAATTTAATGTGCAGAGCTTTCCATGGCCTTGGGCTGCCTGAAGCTGTTTGCTCTAAGCAGGTCCTAGAGGTGGTTATCCAGGGCCTTAGATCCCATGCCTTTGCTTGGCCAGGCTCCAGGGTGGCACCTGGGGTCTAGTGCACAGTCCGTGGGATCTAACCATGTGACCATATCTGTAGAGTCACCAAAGGCTGGACTTTGTGGCCTCTGAGTGCTGCAGCTCTGCCGTTGGTGAAGCAGAAAAACTCAGCACACTTCCCTCAGAGCACCCTCATTGTTCACCAAGCCCCAGTTCACTTTCTTCGCTGTGAGCTTTTCATGCCATTGATGTCATTCTTTAGTGGCAGTTTGTCATCAGCTCAGCATCAGAGACCTTTGATCTCTTGGTCTTGGGCTTTCTCAGTCATAGACTGGTCATCAAGGCCCAGGGCCCACCAGCAAGAGTCCCATGGTAAGGGTTTGCTGTATGTGGTTAATGGGTCATCTCTTTGTTCATCCAGGTCCCAGGTGTGTGATGGCGGCTGCAATCTGTCTTGTGGGTATTAATGCGATCTTCACTGGTGGCGACTGTACTCCAACTGTTGTGCAAAACTGGAGCTTGCTGGTGAGTTCCAAAGGCCAGTGTCGACCAGTATGGTCAGGACAGGCCCCAGCATTGCCTGAGAACCCCAGACTCTGGGGTAGGGCCTCCAGTCTGGGTGCTCATCTCTCCAGGTGGTTCCGTGCTCTGCACTGTTTTGTCCAGCCCCAGCCTGCTTAGGAAAAGTTATTCAGGATAGTCACCAGCCATTTTCATAGTGCATCATGGCCTTCTTAGGTAAGGCAGATACTGTTAACATGTGGTTATCCAGTAGCAACCTAGACTGAGAGTATTCCACCAGCATCTAAGCCTTTTTCGGAAATTCAGCATGTTGTTGGAAATCTGTTTTAGATCTAGTATGTATGCTCCCCTACTTTATCAGTCCAATTACATTAAGTATAATTCAGCATTTTCTTGACTCAGGGACATTTTTATGACCTCTTCTGAAAGGGATAATCACTTGACTGGTATGGCTGAATTAAGTCTGCAAGATTCTCCAGGAATCCCTCTATACCACTTAGTTTTTCTAGTTAGTGATGATTTTGGTCATTCGTCTTCTTGCCAGTGTCAGCTGTCACTTCTCAGTCAGTAGTCTTAAAAATTAATGATAATGGGGCTGGGGATGTGGCTCAAGCAATAGCGCACTCGCCTGGCATGCGTGCGGCCCGGGTTCGATCCTCAGCACCACATACCAACAAAGATGTTGTGTCTGCCGAGAACTAAAAAATAAATATTAAAAATATTAATTCTCTCTCTCTCACCCTCTCTCACTCTCTCACTCTCTCTCCTCTCTCACTCTCTCTTAAAAAAAAAAATTAATGATAATGTACATTCTCAGAAGTATCCTGCCTGCCAGGTACCACATATGGAGACTTCTGGTGTCTTTGGAAAGTTTGGCTTAGAACCACAGGAATGTCAGGGGCTGGGAGACAGCAATTTATGTCTCAGCCAAAATAAGGTGGCAGATTTCATTCCTATCATGGATCAGAAAGGAGGCAAGATTCCTGCTAAGGACAGAGGACCAGGTAGTGCTGCCCACAGAGGTCATCACCACATTCTGAGGACCTGAGTAACTCCACACTCAGAGAAGAGCCCCTCTCAGTGCTTGACCAGAAGTGCAGACTTCTGCTGTGCACAGCCCGCCTTCCACCTGCCTGCACTTGGGCAGCTTTCTGGACAGGAAGTGAGCTACCTGCACTTCAAGTATCTTTCCTACTGAAGTGTATCTTCACTGACTTCAACTTACCAACAGGCAACATTTTTCCACAACTCATTGGGCAGCTGGTATTTATCCTGCTAATCTGTGGTCTTTTGCTTTGTTAGATTTTCCTTTTGTTGTGGTTCTTAGTAGTAATGCCCATGTAATTCTTGTTGGTATTATCAAACTTTTTTAAAAGCCTTAGTTTTGTTTTATTTCCCCTCCTTCTCTAGATAAATTTAAAGACCAATTAAAAGCTACCCATGGAATTTTTTGGAAGCAAGTTACATGTGATTTTTTTTTTAAGGCAGTAAAGCAACTAAAACATCACTCATTAAAAGGCATATACCCGTGAGCCCAGGCAAGGCAGCAGCAGCAGCATTTGATGAATTCACGGCAATGCAAGGATCTAGTAATGCAAGCTGGGAGGTGGGGGGAGCAGCGCAGAAAAATTTGGAAACAGGGACTATGACTTGGTGGGAAGATGCCCCAGAAGTGCTGGCAAAGATGAGGAGCTGACAGCTGTTGTGGAAGGAGGTGGGGGGAGGGGGTGTTTCAGCACTGATGGTGTTAGCTCAGCGTGTGGTTCACCAGTTTCTGGAGCCATCCTCAGGTTACAGAAGGGAGTTTGGAAGAAGCTATTTCTCTTTCCAAATTTGAAGTCGGACTACTTGCTTATGTGATCGACCTTTGTAGGGTAGAAAGGACCTGGCTGAGAAGTTAGAATCTCCATCTGGAGCTGGGCCTTCTCCAGCCAGTGGAGTTGGAACCATGCACAGATGTAGCTAGCCAGCCTGCACATACTTGTTATTGTGGGCTGAGAAGAGTGATATGAAACTGGTGGAACAGTTACTGATTACAGAAGACTGTTCCTCTAGAGATTCCATAGATCATGAACTTTGCATTTAAATTTTTTAAATGCTAATTTGTTTTATATTGTGAATTAGAATCAGTGCTTGATTTTAAGAAGTCAAGCTGATAGATATAAAAAACACTCTTAGGGCTGGGGTTGTGGCTCAGTGGCAAAGCACTTGCCTCACACATGTGAAGCACTGGATTTGATCCTCAGCACTACATAAAAAATAAACAAACAAAATAAAGATATTGTGTCCAGGTATAACTAAAAAATTTTTTTAAAAAACATTCTTATTATTAACATTTGTATATAATGTCCCATGTTTATTTGGAGTTGGGTGGAGGGAAATATTCCTTATCTGACTTTTGGTAAAAATGATTATTAGAGGGTTAAACTCTTGGGAAAGAAATCACAAGTGATTAGGTCAAACAGTACATGTACAAGGGAAGCATGGAAGGAGAGTTAAATGTTAGCACTGGAAGGAAAAGCTCACAGTATACCTGGACAAACAGGTTTTGACTTAGTTACAGTAAGTGTCCCCTGCTCTGTCAGCAAGCATCCTGACCCCACACCCATATCTTTCAAGGCACCATTCTCCACTGTCTTCAAATTCTGTGTCCCTCAGACTAAGATTTTCTGCACCTCTCTAGGTCCTATGCTTGCATGTCACAATTGATCTCTTCCCAGGAAAGGTGCTGTGAAAAGACACCCCCCTCAGCCTGACCCTCTCCCTGGCTCACTGTCCCTCTGTGGTGCTTCATGTTCCCGGATGTCTTTAGATTCTGTTTAAAATGTCCTTGTTAATACATTCCAAGGTCTGAACTCCGTTCCTAGCTAAACCTCTTCCTTGTTTACAGGGACTGAAATAGCCACACTTTGACCTTCTGTTCAGTCTGGGAACATTGATGGCAGTGTGGATACATTCTTTTCCCATGTGAGAATTACATCTGTATGGCACAGTTCTGGAAGGCTCAGAACTTGTTCCTTTCTTCTCTCCTTCCTTCCATGGTCTCCCTCCCCTCACTTCAGAAGATCAGCTTCTGTAATCAGCCAGTATTAACCAGAAATTTACCTATCTTCCTGTTCAGGCAGATGTATACAGAATTGTAGTCAGGACCGGTTACTGTATTACCCAGAAAAATTGGAAATGCCTTCTCCTCCCCCCAGCGGTATCAGCTTCCTATAGAAGGCACTGCTCATTGAGGTGCTCAGGGCTGGTGTGCACAATGGGTACAGATGGGCCCCCTGGGTACAGTCTCCTGGCGTTGTCAAGACTCAGACCCAAGTCTAGTGCCATATCCCATAGTGGCCTATTGCTCCTATTTCATCTGCTCTGGATTCCCAATGTTCAAATTACAGGGTTGTGTTTTTGCTATATGTAAATGACTGTATGTGGAGTTGAGGAAGGAGTAGATAATTTTTGGAAGGATTATCCAAGATAATCCCCGTGAAAGCCACAATGGCCTGGACAGGGAGAATTCCTGCTTGTAGGAGGAAGCCCTGGAGGCTGAAGGGATCAGGAAAGGTGAGTTGTAAATAGGAGAATGTATAACATGGGCAGACAGGAAGCAGGACAGAAAAGAGAAAGTACATAGCCTGGGACAGAGCTTTTGAGGGCCTTGAAGGATGTATTAGGGATATGAGACTTGGGGAGTCACTGAGGACACTTGAGCAGGGCTTGGAAAAGGGGGGTTAAGGAATCATCATTACTTTGCTGCCTACCCATTGCAAAGCGGTTGGAGATGCACAGTAACAGTCCAAATACAAAGAGGTACACCCAAAGTAGTGATGGCGATATTGGAAAGGAACAGATGATCATGTGGACTTAGTGTGAGAGACTGCACAGGGCCCAGGGATGGATGCAGGGACAGAAACTGTCAGGGCAGAAGATGCTGAAATACCTGGGCAAAGCTGACAAGAATAGGGAAGGAATTGGCTACGAACCAGAATAGGACAGGGTCTGCAATGTGGATTGCCCAAAGACTGTTGTCAAGCTCTCCAGCAGCAAAAGTAGACAGCAAGGCACTGAAAGAGACACCAGAGACTCCACCCACCCTAAATCAACAGGGCCAGCTTGGGAAAGGAAACTCATATGGTCCACTTCCTTTGCCTGCCCATTCCATTTCTTCCTTTTGTAGTCCCTGAAAGCAACATGACAGCTTTGGTTACAGGCCATGTCGCCACAGCTAGGCCAGCTGCTTTTCCACTCCAAGCCCAGAGAGGCAGTAGTAGCCCCTTCCTTCTCAGAGCACAGGGGCTGCTAGATAATTGTCCCATGTGAATTATCCCAAAGTAAGAACCACTGTAGAGTGTTCTTCAGGAAAGGTTTCTAGGAATCCACACATAAACCTTCCTTTGGCTGCTTGCATGTGGTCAAGTTTAGAATGAGATGGAACTTGCAAAAGAAGAAAACTGCCCTTGTCTATTTCTTTAGTAAGCTAGTTTCACTCCACTATGACTGTAATCAGTGCACTTGAGGGGAGTCCAAGGGCAGCAAACCAGGCTTAGTAAGTGTGGATTCACAAGGGAACTTCAGTTGCTATAGCCCCCTAAACAATGTCTGGCCCCACCATAAGCCCCCTGCAACTCCAAATCCCAACCCTGGGCTGCTTCATACAACATATTCTCAGATTGTGGGGTTTTGTGCCCCCATCTGCTTCCAGGTAGAAATCAGGGTGCAGCAGACAAAAGACAGTTACCAGCAGGGGTCCTATTATTGGCCCTGCTGAGTGTCACAGGTATATGGCATGCACCAAAGACAGGGTGAACACACCCTGCCCAGGGTGATTTCTTCATTACAGAGCTTATGATAAGTGGTAGTTGACTCCTCATTTCTGTGCTGGGTACCATGGGGAGGCAAAGGAATCAGAAAATGAGATTTTCCTGAAGCAGTTTACTTCCTTGTTCGCTCCTAGTAGAACCTTTTTGTGGCTCAGAGAAATCTGAGGCTGTAAAGGTGGAAATGGGCCAGGATCACTTGAGCACATTACAGCTCTCTAGTTTTGGCCTGCTAGGATTAATTCACTTTTTGCAACAACCTGAATAGGTAGATAGGTAATAGCACAGTAACGCAGTTAAGGTTCAGGATATCCAGATTCCCATTCTAGAAAACCTTGTCCTGCTTTCTCCCTAGGGATTTCCCATGATCCATGGATGCATGGTATTATATTGGGCCTTAACTTGGAAGCCATTATTTCTATCCATTTGTATGTCATCTAAAAACTAGGATATGGAAAGGTATTTTGTGTGTCAAAGTTCAGGTCCAGATGCAGCACTATACAGTGGTGGTTTATGGAGAAGTGTTACAAAATTATTCAGTTCTCCATGTTTGAGCGTTCACCTAAATATTCTGAGTTCAGGATTTACTAAGTACTCGGTTCCCCAAGTAATTTCTACCTTGGAACAATTAAGTGGTTGTTATCAATAATGATGTTTTTTTCATAGCCTTTTCTCTCACATAAACATTTCCCTGTACAAATGTCTAGTATATACTTATTTGCTTTTGCGAATACCTTTTCTACAAATACAAGTGAGTATGACATGTTGGCAAGAAACAAAGGCATTAGGAGTTGGAGAAGGAAAGGAAAAATAGAGGGTTTGGAGTTTTAGGTGGCAGGGGGCGGGTATTGAGAGGGCATTGAGGATCACCCATAGGGCCTCATACCTAATGCCAGGCAAGCACTCTACCTCTCACCTACAACCCTTTTTATTTTGAGATAGGGTCTCATTAAGTTGCCCAGACTGACTTCAAACTTGTGAGCTTCCTGCCTTAGCCTTCCAAGTAGTTCAGACTGCAAGTGTGATATCACACCTTAGCAATTGTACAGGCAAATTAGGTAAAAAACACAATGGATCTGAGATGCATTTAGGACCAGAGTGCTTATCTGGCACACACAAGGCCCTAGAATCAATCCTCACAACACAGAGAAAACGTCCAGGACCAGTCCCAGATAGGTAGGAGTCAAGGACTTCAATGATTATTTGAAGGCCCTTGTTTTTGCCACAAGGCAAAGAGAAAGGTAGTTCTTTGCAACTTTAGGAAAGGGGACCTTTAAAAGTTTTTATTATGTAAGTAACGATAAGTGGAGATTAAATGTCAGCCCTATATCTCACTGTGGTGTGACCATGGATCCTCTTGTGTATGGTTTTTATTGGGAGAGATTGTTTACCTACACACACACACTCATAAGGAATCACTCTTGAATTTCTCCTGGGTTTCTCAGCCATGGCATTAGGAAAAAAGTACTGTACATGGTTTTGAGATCTACTCTGCCAACATGTTTTCTTTCTGTTTCAGGCTTGAAAAAAACCTTGCCCAGTTTTGATCCCTTCAAGACTTTGCCACAGCCTCTATCACACATCTGTTTTTCTCGAAGAAAAATATATATAATAAAAAATGTTTTACTCTTTTACACTGTATAATTCTAAGAAATAGTGTTATTTGTGAATGCATGGTGTGACATAATTTCTGTACAGTTTGGAGATATTTTCAAATGAAACATAAAAGAAGTCAACAATAAAACCAAGAAAGTGAGTATTTTTATACCAAACATTTTAATTCTGACAGGATGGATTCTTACACTGGGTTGGATCACAAATTTTATGCTAGACTTATCGAATGCTTGTAATTAAAAATATCTATTTTTTTCTTTAAAATAAGCTGCATGTTTGAGGCATGTTTCGAAATAGTTACCAACATTTCCAGAATTGTATTGTGAATGTATAGATACTGTCTGCCTGGCCGCAGTCCAGGGTTCATTAGTAATGTGGTGTTAGAACTGTTCTCTTCAGCCCTGGTCTGTGATCCCAGTTCCCTTATGATATCCCTACAAGACAATCAAAGCTTCCAGGAGCTACTTTAATGGCATATTCACAACTGGGCAAAGAAAACTAGGGGAGAAATTCTTTAGACTAGAGTGTGCCCTTAGAAAGATCTGGCAGCTCCATCTGTGATTGTATGAACTGTGTGCTTCAAGTTTCATGTTTATCTTTTATGAGAGCATGCTCCCCTGTGTGACTAACTTGCTGTATTACTCGCCTTCCATAGCCATGCCACTGCTCCTGTGGGACTCTAGTAGCCCTCACTGTGAAGGAGCACCTTGGCTTCGGGGCTGGCTTTGCCCAACTACAATGGGCAAACCCACATCTGCCAAGTGATTTTACCCAACTTTGGCTGAACTAAGCTAGTGTTCAAACAGACCGCCTGTCACATGTTCTGGAATTCCAGGTTGCTTGTTGTGAGGTTCCCAACTACTCTGGCACAGGGAACCACGGTAACCAATGGCCAAGAGAAAGACAGTTGGGCTTGTTTCAAATGGTCAGAGCTAAACTGTCTTTGTGTTTTAAGGTGACACATTCCAGAATCTGTGACAGCTCAGCCTCTCCCCCTCCCCCTTGTATAAAAGCCATGTGTAAAACTATATTGACCTAAGAGTTCCTAACTGCTAATATAGCTAGAAATGATCACAATCTTTCCTACTGATCTGCTCACTGTGTTGAAAAATTCAATATTTTAATGATTATATGCTTGATTTGGGGGTTTTGTTTGTTGTATTATTTTTCATTAGAAATAAAAATAACATTTGTAATGGTTATCACAACAAAGCAAAGCCAGGAGTGAAGGGCTCTTTCTTACCAACAAGAAGAAAGAGGGCAGGCAGTAGCCTAGAGGATCCTGATAGATCTGCTTGGGTGTTTAGGGAGGGTCTATGCCCTCAGCACCACTTAGCTCTTGGTGAGACTCCTGTATTTGATTTTAAGGAAAACAGAGCCACTTCACTATTATGCTTTTTTAAACTGTTTGTTTAAAGGTACTTTTCTATTGTTATTTTTAAAAAATAAAGTGCTTATTCCAGCTATCACACCATTGCTTGACAAATTCTTTTTTTCAAGATCAGCCAAATGTGTCCCCCACACTGCAGCCTAGGGACCAGAAATTTCTTTTCTGTTTCAGGCTTTGGGACCAGCTAAGCACTAGAATGGAAAGATTAAAGGAGGGAAACAGGTAGGAATGGGAGAGCCAAGGGACAGCCTCCACAAATGCACCACTTGGGTCACTGTCACTATTGCCATAAGCCATAAAGGAGCCCAAGGTAGATCCACAACATTTCTAAGATGCCTTTCACTGAGTTCAACAGACATTCACCTCAGGCTACAAAGCTGTGGCTCAAGATCATTCGAATTCTCTTCAGATGTCACTGATGGCTTTACGCTGACTTAGCCAAGATGACTGATGGAGTTTCACACATGCGCTCACTCACCATTCTTAATAATGCCTAATTCCAAACAGTGGCAACAACAGCTACTGTAATCCTTGACTTGAACACTGATGTTTTTTGGTTCTGTGTTTTGGATCTCATATCCTTTTCCAGAGGCGACTATCCACCAAAACACAGGCTATCACTGCCACCTTCCGGTCCCTTGAACTCATGGATAACTGCAGAAAAAGGACAGGAAGCTTTCCACAGCCACACGCGGCTCCATGCCTATCCCGGGCAGGCTTGATCATGTGCCTTTGCCTTTAGCCCATCTGTCAGCCTCCAACTCAAAAGCACCAGAGATTGCCATATGGCCCAGGAATTGAGGGTAGCCAGTTTTACAGCTGTGGGCTACACTATCCCAATAGCCATTACTGAACACAGTCACTTCCCAGATGATTTCTCAGAAGAGGACCTGGGATGGATGAGTGCCTGATGGTCATGATGTGCAAGTGACAAGGGTGGATGGTATTTACCAGTTCTGTGCAAATTACAGTCCTGACCAAGCATTTGAGTACCAACTTCATTACAGTCTCTGAAAACTTGTCTTTTCTGTCACTCTACTGATAATGAATGAATGCATTGTCTTTTAGAACCAGGAACATGGAATAAGAAAAAAGGCATGTCTATTAGCTCTTGCTCCCTTACTCAATGTCCCAAATTTGTAGCCTCTCTATTTCATTACCAAATGTACTTTCCCTTGTGAGTACAAGACTAATTGAACTAATTTTATCAACTGGCATCTGAAATAACACTCCTTCCACTTCTGTAACAAAATTATGAATTAAGGGAATTTGGAAAGAACCTTACAATTTGCAAATGAAAACACCTCCAGTTAATCACACATTTAGGCTCCAGCTTCACTGGATCTAGTGCTTGCATAATGTCAACCCCACTTTCGTGGGCTAACTTGCAATAATTACTACCCCATCTCAAACTCTGGCATCCCTGAATCCTGAGTTGTGTGGCCTAGGGAACATTTCTTTTAAATACTTATTTTTTAGTTGTAGTTGGACACAATAACTTTATTTTACTTATTTATTTTTATGTGGTGCTGAGGATCAAACCAAGGGCCTCACATGCACTAGGCAAACGCTCTACCACTGAGCTACCACTGAGCTACCCCAGCCCCCCTAAGGAACATTCTTAAGAATGATAAAGGCATGGCTGAGGTCCTGAATTCTGTATCTTAATACACAATCCTTGGTGTCCATAATCAAAGTTACTTCTGAGGGCTCTGGACAAGGGATGATCAGGGCTAACAATGTGGACAGATTTCCTCCTGCTTCCACATCACTGCAACATTCAACTATGGTGAAAAGCCCACTCTTCTGGAGTAGTTTAAATATCAGCACATGGTTGCTCTCTTACTGTTCTACTTTAAAACCTAACAAAACAAATTTTACAACATTCTTAGGCTAAAGAATGTTTATTATTAGTGCCCTATTTTCTGAAGTACCCTCAGAATGCCTCTACTAAAACTATCATTGTAATGCTAAACCAAATATAAGTAGTCAATTTGATTAAGGTCTCCAAGTTAGGGGGGAGGGTTGTTTTTGCAGCACTGGGGATTGAACCCAGAAGTGCCTTACCCAGCGCCTCCCCACACCCCATTATTTGAGACAGGGCCTCAAACTTAATCCTACCTCAGCCTCTAAGCAGCTGGGATTTCAGGCATGTGCCACCACACTTGCAGGAAAATGTTTTTTTAAAGCTCTGTCTACCAATGGTGCAGGACATCCTAGTGGTAGTGACATTAATAATAAGAGTCAAGATAAAACTGGTATAAGATAAAAGTGCTTCTGGAGCTAGTTCTGCCAGATTCAGGCTGTGGTTTATTCTTATAAATGCACAAGGCTTTGCACTGAATGCCCTGTGGCGTATGAACCCTGCAAAGTTCTGGCTGGTTGAAAAGTAAGATTTCACCAGATATTCAAACCACAACATGCTCACAAGGTGCTGGCCCAAATCAGATGAGCTGGATTAATACTACAGCCCCAAACTTCTACAGGGGCCTAAGATAGCAGCCTCCTCAATCTTGATTTCTCCCATGGAGGAACTAACCAGGGCCAAACCCACTTAGCTTCTGAGACTGAACAAGATTGAACATGTTCAGGTTAGTATGGCTGTAGACGATACTTTTTCTAATGGAAATCCTTTTATGAAGGAAAATGTGCTTTTGTTCTTTAAAGCGGAAAAACAGAAAGTGGGGGTGAACCCAGATGATAAGGCTATAGCCTTGATTCTTTCTGCATATTTTACATTTATTTTGCTCCATGCTCTGCCCAAACTACATATAAACTCCTAAGGTGGCACACCAAAATGAGGTTTTCTGCTATCAGGCCTCCTTCCACAAGGCGGGACTTCTATCTTTTCTTGCTTAAATAAATCCTACTCTGTTTACTCTTCCCTTCCCTTATTATCTGTAGATTTTATTCTTCAGAATTTGCAGGCAAGAACCAAGAGGAAAGTGGCCAAGTAGGGAATGAAGTCTCACTCAAAACTCCAGTTTCATCTTAAGAGGAAAGCCAATAGCATAATGCCAGGGCTTACTCTAAATCCACTTTTCTAAACTATGCTTCCCCCAACAGTCACAAAACAGCCTGGTGACAAGTGTTCCAAAGTTAGAGAAATAGTTTCCAAGAGGTTCCCAGAGCTTCTAACTCCCACCTACTCTTCTCTCAGTACACACTGGGAAATGAATTCCAAGGACAGCAATGTGGGTGATAACAGGTCATTGCTACAGAAGGCATGATACTTGCCTCAGCTTGCTAACAGTGAAACCTCAGAAAACCCCAAATCTTCCCACAAATCAGCTGAAAGTAAAATAGTAGCTAGAAGAAAGGGGGGACACTGAGTTTCATCTTTTAAGCCATTAGCTGAGGGGAACTGGGTAATTGATAAATACAAATACTCTAGTCCTACATAACCAACTACATTCATAACATGTTTTTGCTGCCAGTGATTTCCAACAGCTCATATGAAAAATCCAAGGCTGTACATTTACATTCCTTCCCTATGAACACTGGGATTGGAAGTAACCGGATGTCTCTGCACTGCATTTTTCCTAACTCTCTGCTCAACAGGTATAAAGTGCTCTTCTGTCCCTGGGGTCCCACCATCATCTAGCCACACTCACCAGCTATGACAGCAGTGGCCAAATGTTCATTTTTATACTGTGTCCAAGCTCAACTACATTTCTCTTAGCTATCCCCTAAAAGCCTCACGTGACTGATGAATTATAAATTAAATGCACTACAGCCTGACTTACCCTTTTAATTCACTCAGCCATGCCCATCCTCACTTGCTTCTGAATGGCAGCAGATCCAACAGAAACAGGCAGAAGTGGGAACACAACCTTAGCTTGGAATTTCTGGAGAATGTTTTTTAGACACCCAAAAAAACTGCTAAAAAAACTTACTTCTTTAATTATGATCATAAACATAACTAGGATCCTATCAAATTTTCCACAAAAACAATATCCTCCCCACATCATTCAGTGATACAATCTTAATACTTCACCATGCAGGAACTGCATGTCATAGGCAAGGAGGATCAAGGCTTATCAGCAAAATAAAATGCAAGTGAATGAAACAAAGCTATAGTTCACACATGTTATCGACTTGGCAATACACTTCTCTAGATCTAAACTTCCTCATTTCTGAAATAAGTTTTAGACAACAATCAATTATCAGGCCAGTCCATGAAGTATTGATGAGCACAGGCTTAGCTAGAAATTATTAACAATACACAACGAGCTGTAAAGCATATTGTTTTAGAATCTGTGATGAAGGTCTATCTCCTTCAGAATAAGATGAAGTATTTGAAATATCCAAAAGGCATTTCCCATAAAATAGGATGGGGTGTACAGACCACAAAAGCAGGCATTTGGAGATAAGCTAATTCTACATTTACAATGAAACTAGTTTTATGCTGTGAGTCATTAAAGTTCCTATTTACAAAGCAAGACAGGTTTGAATTTCCTGTATTCCAAATTATCAAGGGGAGTCTCAGTTTTGCATCTCATGTTTTAGAGCTTGGAATTTAGAAAGACATAAAGCAAACAGAGAGCACTAAATGGGTAGGAAGTTCACATATAGAATATAAATTAAAAAAGCAAAATGCCTTCTGTCATCTAATCAAAGGACTCACTGCTTTGGGTACCATCATTTTTTAGGAACACCAGACCTCACTTTAATCCAATACAATTTCAACCTGTGATATGAAGCCACTAACACAAAGGACCACAGCAGTCCATATAAAAAGCAGCAATAAGGGGCTGGGGTTGTGGCTCAGCAGTAGAGCTCTTGCCTAGCACAGGTGAGGCCCTGGGTTCAATCTTCAATACTACATAAAAATAAATAAATAAAATAAAGGTATTGTGTCCAACTATAACTAAAAAATATTTTTTTAAAAAAGCATCAATAAGGAAAATGGGAACTTTGCTACAGAAGGCAGGAAGGACCACAGCAACTTCCCATTATGAAAAAAATCCACACATACTTGATAAAGGCTCTCATGAGCCAGGCCAGCGACAGGGGGAAAGTGGGGGTCTCAGCCAGATGAACCTCAGGTCAAGTCATGTTAGGGGTGAGACATGGTAAAGCTAATGTTCAGGTTGGCAAGATGACTCCATCCATCCTTGTTCAAGACCATACCAGAGCATTATTTTCTAAATCCAACAGGCTATAACATCAATTTGTCCTTTTAAAAGATAACATTAACAATTACATCTAGTGTATTTTTTATTGCATTACATGCTAATGAGAGGCATGTCTTGTGTTCCAACTGGGAATCCACATGCTCAGTACCAGAGTAGACTCCAGTCTCCATAACATCCCAAGCACACACCCTGAGCAAGTCCAGGACTGGAGCTGGTTGCTGCCATTTCCAAGAATGAAAAGAAAGAAACGGAATTCATTAACTTCTTCAAAATCCTTCTACAATGATTTTATTATAAATATGTTCTTTTGGAATAAACAAATATTGCATTCAAGACTATCTGCCAACTTGCTCTAAGGTAATAAAAGAGAAAAAATGGAACCAGGAACCATCTAGAAGTAGAGACAAATAGCAAAGACACCTGCATATCGTGCTAAGTGCCTTTCTCCCAAGAAGGAACAGAAGGTCTAGAGGGAATATCACATTTCTCATTAGCCTATTTGATTAAAATAAGCTTTGAGTTTGGTAATTTGCACTTGTTCTGTAAACTGAACTGCTCCTTGCCTCAGTCCTAAGAAGCAGAATGGGAAGACAGCCAGTCTTCAGATCCCGAGCATCAACAACAACAACAAAATCTTGATTGTGTGTTTGTAACTCTTTGTTCAAGACAAAAGTGTTCCCTATTTGCCAGGAGTAATGTCAGAGTAATCCTTCAGCACTCCAGCCAAGTGTTCGTTGTGAGTCTTAAAACGTCGTTTTTTCTGTGAAGCAGGTTTTTTCCTTCTCTGAATAGGAGCCTAAAGGAAAAAACAGAAACAACAGTAATTCCCAGGTGGTTAGGATAGTCAGGATTTAATAAGCAAGCTCAGACACCTGCAGCAAAGGATGCAGAGTTTCCCCTGCTCTGTGACCCAGCCTCACATACACCCATCCACAGCACACATGCCAACCTCCAACCAGACTCAGTACTTTCTGTTACCATAAAGTGTGAACCTACATCAGCAATAAACAGGTCGGCCTCATAACTTACCAGAACTATTCTAGGCACGAAGTGGATAAAACAAAAGAGAGGCAGTGAAGCTCTTGGGTTTTTGTCTCTGTTATCAAGTCTAAAAATATATCCACCATCATCAATTTAAAGTGGGGGGTCTGAAGTAAATACTGAGATATAGCAAATCAGAAATGGAGAGACACAAAGATTTGTACTATTATTCTCCATTCTGTATATTTAAAATATTAATAACACATGATTAAAAATCAATAAACTAATAATAGGTCATCATGAAGGGCTGTAATTACACATTTGTGGACAAATCACTGGCATTAAATCTACTTTTTTGAGTCCTAAAAATTCATTAAGGCACACACTGCACACACCCAAAAAGACACAAAGCATGATGATGGCAAAGGAGAGAGGAAGAGTCTCACATGTTAGTAAATTACTCCCCACCTGGCTCCATTCTTGAACTACAGGAATCTAGGTTTTGCTTAGCTGATACACAGCAATTTACCAGTTTTACGTGATTACTAATGCCTCCTATGAGAAGAATTTAGGCACTACAAAGAAAATAATATCGGGCTCCCAAGGGACCTGAAAATCAACAAGGACAAGTCAACATGATCAGAGACAGCAGAACTAAGTGACAAGTCTACAAAGCTCACAAAGCAAGGGGAAGAAAGCACAATTACAGTGCTAAAGGCCAGGCAGATGAAGATGCAGGCTCCTGTAGAAACTGGGATAAGTGTGTGCAGAGGTAAGAGAGTAGGCAACACTGAGGCCCCAGAGTCAGGGAGGCATGGCTGGAGCTCAAGAGCTGGCATAGTTAGAACAGGCTAAAGGCAATGGGAAGCTCTCCCCAGCCTGGAGAACAGCACCCAAGGGCAGTTCACTTACAGACATGATATGGGTTACATCTGACCAAATCACTGGACGAGACAAAGAAAAAACTGGAAGGACGAATGACTAATGGCTTTTAAGAGAGCAGAACAGGAAGCAACTAACAGAGAACAGAGGATTGATTTTTTTTTTCTAGAGATTACACACCACTTTCTTTGGTCCAGATTCCTGCATAGAAGAAATACCCTGTCGCTTCAAATATTCTTCAATTTTCTCCTCATCCATTGAATCCACAGTGACACTCCTCCAGAGTTTCTGGAATTCTGTATCATACAACAAGAAAGCAGTTATTTTATCATTTATTTTTACAAGTCACAGAATCTCTGTAATCAAAATCCAGGCTTCAATATTATCACCTCTAGGCCTGAATTAGTATATCTGAGATTTCCTTATAAAAACAAAGGCAGACAAGAACATTCCAGTGTCCGGACACTAAGCGGCAGAAGGGCCTGGGAATAGAATGGCATACACACAGACGACGTCAGTGACGCTCTATTTTTAGAGGCCAGAAAGCAAAGGGTGATGTGACAAAGCCTCCTGCTCCCTTAGGCCTTCTCTTTCCTGGGGAAGAAAAGGCAGTCAATACTCTCCTTTATTTCTAAAGTCAGTTCCCTCCATTTTAGGCAAACAGTTCAATTCCTGCTCATCTGCCCTGAGCTCAATGTACTCCATTTTCTCTCCCACTGTTAGTAAGAAACATGCAGAGAAATGAGAGAAATTCACTTGCAAAATCTTTTGAAATCAAGGGATTGGTGACTAAGAGGATAACTGAGATGGAAACACTGTCTCACAGCTCCCATGAAACAAAGAAAGGCTACTGTCCAGCCTACATCTTGTCCTCAGAAACCTATGGTCCTTCTGAAATATATTTTTGCAAGCCAAAAAGATCACACTTGGACCATGTCCAAAGTGAAAGTTCTTTGCCTCTTAATTCTCCTCCTAAAGACAGATTCTAATAAGTGAATTCACCTATCAGCATCTACTTCCAAAAACAAAACAAAAAACTTCTTGTGATGGAAAAATCACAAGACTCAATACCCTGAGGGGAAAAAAAAAGGACAGTCCTTAGCACCGAGGTGGCTCACTGGATCTCCAGTTCACAAAACCTGCCATGTCTACCTGCCTGCCCCCTATTGAAAACCCTCATCCCACCTTCTTTCCTTCTAGGGCCATTAATTTTCCAGCACAGTCATTCACAAGCTATAAATGAAGTAGACATCAAATAAAGTGCTGGACTAGATTTTTTATTTTCCTTTGCCCTCTTTTCTAAGTTCCTTCCTTTTTTTTTTTTTTATTTCAGTACACACTATATGAAGTAAATGATTGGGAAACAGAAATCCAGTGAATCTATTAGGGTTCCCCCTACCCTGAAGCTTTTGTTGCTAGTGACCAATTGCAAAAATAACAATCTATTACAAATAATTCAACCTGGGCACAGAACAACTCTAAGATGTCTGTATTTCCACAGATATATATTAGGGTTCTTTATACTATTATACTCATTGAACTTTCATCTGCACACATTATAGACATTAACTGATGACAACTGTTTGGATGCAGGGAACTCTATTGTCATCTGATTCCCACGGTAGCAGGCACTGTTCCTACCATGTTGACAGGTACTACAACTCACTATGAACATATGAAATACTATTGTCCACCAAGGCCTAGACACCACAGGCCATTTTCTTTTTACATTTTTAATATTTTTATTTAAAATAAATTTTCACTAACAAAAAGTTACAAAGTTAGTATATAGGTCCCTTCATATCTTTTATCCAACATTCCTTAATAATAGCACCTTAAATAACTGTGTATCTATTGAAAACTTATAAATACTGACATGATATCACTAATTGACAGGCACTTGAAATGTATTATTGTTAGCAGGAACACCCTTTCTGGTCCAGGAACCAATCCAGGATCTCACCCTGCCCTAGTAATGTCTCCATATTCTCTTCAAATCTCCCAAGGGTACCCAGTCTGTATTTGTCCCTCATTTCTGAAACATTTCTAAATAGAAGAGTACTGGTCAGTTATGTTGTAGAAGGGTCTTCATCTGGCTTTGTCTGATATTTCCTCTAGACCGAGATTTCTGCATTTCTGGCAAAAATAACACAGGAATAAGACTGTGTTATTCCTATCAATGTGCCTTATTGACAATATATCTTATTACTGGAGCTGGTTAACTGATTATTGACTAAGGGGTATCTATTAGGATTTTCGGCCATGAAGCTATTAGTTTTTTCTTTGTAATTAATAAGTGTCTTAGATATTCTGAGACTATGCAAATACCTTGTTTCTCATACTTTCACTAACTTTTGCATATATTAGTCACTCTTGCATATAATAATTATTATTTGTGAGTGCCTACTGCAAATGATTTCCATCATTTCTTCCACATTTATTATAGCTCTACTGCAGGAAGTGCTGCTTTCTCTAATTTGTTTTTTAATTATTTAAGTGAATAAGGTCACATGGATATAATTCATTATCATCATTATTTGTGTTGTTGTTCAAACATCCCAGCTTTAGTTGGTTCCAGTGTCTCTGGCTTGCCTTTTTTGGGGAGGAAAGACATTCTTACTTCTTGGTACCAAATGATGTTCCAGGCTTATCTTGAATTTTCCAAAATTTGGAATCAATCATTTCTCCAAGGATTCAAGACTTACTTTACTGCAGAAAGGTATTTACAAACTAAGATCTATGCATTCTATTTTTTTACACCAATTTTTCTTTTTTGAAACTAGAAAATGACAAGATAACATCAAATTTGAAGATGCTTCAATTTAGGAGAAGATCCCCAAGTACAATGAAAATCAGATATGTTCTAAACTCTAAGGGTAAATAAAATCAGAACTAATTGATAAACCCACTGTCTCTTAATAGAAAAGAGAACAGGCTAGAATTTATAAACTCTGCCATGAAGGGAAGAAAGTAAGCAAACTCAATGAAGTTTCACTGAAATTCCCATTAACTCACTCACAATTTGGCTATGCCTACTCTTTCCTGTGAAATGGTAGAACAGTGTGGTGCAGACTTCAGAGCCACATGGCCAGGGTATGACCTTAGTTATCCCATTTACCACATAAACAGGGCAAGCTCTCATTTCTCTGCTCAGTTTCCTCATCTATAACATGGAGATAACAAGAACACCTGTCTCATATAGAGTAGTGAGAATTAAATGAGTTAAAAATAAGTAAGACACTAAAAATAGTGCCTATAAAGGAAAGGTGTTATCTATTACAGTTATCTCTACCTATCATCATCTAACATCCATTATCTTTTTCTGTGTGCTAATGCCTTTAATAAAAGCAGTATGAAACATTTATGAAAAGGACCGCCTACTAGATTCTAAAATTTTCTTAAGCAAAATCACAAAAGTGGAAACAACCCAAATGTCCATCAGTTGAAGAATGAGTAAATAAAATGTGAATATGAACACAACATCCTTTTTCACTATAAGGATTAAGGTTCTATATTTCCCTCTAAGCACTCCATAGCTGCATCCCTTAATTTTGACACATTGTGCTTTCATTTCATTTAATTCAATAATTTTTTTTAAACTTCCTTGTTATTTATTTCCTCCTTCAACCATGGGTTAATGTTGCTGTTTAATTTTCAAATGGAGAGTTTCTTTTTTTGGTACCAAGATTGAATCCAGTGGTGCTTAACCACAGAGATACATCCCTAGCCCTTTTTCGAATTTTATTTAGAGACAGGGTCTCATTGTGTTACTTTAGGACCTCAATAAGTTGCTGAAGCTGCCTCAGCCTCCCAAGCCACTGGGATTACAGGTGTGCACCACCATGCCCAGCTTGTTATTAATTTCTAGTCTAATTCCATTATGGTCCAAGCACACCCTTTGTATACTTTCAAAGACTTCTTTTGTGAGCTAGAATAACATCTACCTTGGTGAGTATTCCATATGCTCTTAAAAATATTACTGTAATTACGTCAAGTTGTTAGAAGCCCTATCCTCATTTTCCAAATTGGTTTAATTATCGAAAGAGAAGTATTATAGACTCCAGTCTTAACGACTGATCTGTTTATTTCTCCTTTTAGTTTTCCATTTTTAATTTATGCATTTTTAGGGCTATTTAAAAGACTGTAGGAGAACTGATCCCTTTATCATTGTTTAATGTACCTCTTTATCCTTGGTAGTTTTCTTTGCTCTGAAGTCTATGTTATTTGATATTAACATACATACCCTAGCCTTCCTTTGATTTGTGTTTCCATGTATATCATTTTTCACATCCTTTCACTTTTCATTTACTTTAACCCCCCGCCTCAAACTAGGGATTGAACCCAGGGATTCTTGACCACTGAACTACCCAACCTTTTTTTTTTTATTATTATTAGAGGCATGCACCACTACGCCCAGCCCATGTCTTTATATATAAAATTGTGTTTCTTTCAAATAGCATATATAAGGATTTTGCTTTTGTATTCAATCTGAAAAATCTGTCTTACTAGACTTACACCACTTATATTTAACATAATTATTAATATGGCTGAAATAAAATTGTTCTCTTGTTCACTGTTATTATCTGATCCATCTACTCTTAGTTTTTTCCCCTATTTCTTTTTTTAAATTAGATTAACCAAATATATTTCTATGATTCCATTTTACCTCCATTATTGGCTATTTATTCATGCCTCTTGAAAAAAAAATGTTTTAGTGGTTGTCCAAAACTTTAAAATATAATTAATCAGAACCTCACCTCAAACTATGCCATTTCTCACATAATATAAAAGATATTACTACAGTATATTCAAAACTAACCATCCCTTATTGTGTGTGTCATGTATCCCTTTTGTGTGTGTCATGCATGTGCACTCTAAACACAAAATACATTGCTGATATTTTTGTTTTATGGTCATCTTTCAAACCAATGAAAACTAAGAAAAGCAAAAAAAATTAATAAGTCATGAATCTTATATCTTTGTTTATTCTTTCTCCAGCACACTTCATTATTTATACAGATCCAAATTTCTAGTGTTAAATCCCTTCTGCCTGAACAACTTCCTTTTATATACGTCTAAACTCTTTCAGTTTCTGTTTCTCTGACACAGTATTTCTCCTTCACTTTTGAAACGAGTATTTCTGCAGAGTAAAGAATTCGGAGTTGAAAGATTTTACCTTGGGCCATTTAAAGATATCACTGCTAGAGTTCTTTACTAATTATTAACATGTAAAAATAACATTTTCCAAGTTTTCATTTGTATTTTTTTTAATATTTTTTTTAGTTGAAGATGGACA